TATATCTATGCAACCTATGTAACCTAATTGTAATTGGTACTTGTATTTTTTCTAACAATCTTTAAATGCGTCGCAAATGTAAGAATATCAAGATTTCTGAATTTGTTTAGTACTAGGGAAGAGGAGGATTGATGATTCCGAGAGTGATTCCGAGGATGGAGGCAGCAGCGCTGCGAAACGAATGAAAGGCGACACAGGTAGTGATGAAGATTGGACTGGAGAGTCCGAGGAAGAAAGATTGTTGGGTCGAAGCGATATGATTCAACGCGCATTTAATCGTGCCAATGCTCAATCAAACGGGTCTAACAGAGCAAGTGGTTCGTCTACAGATCTTGCAACTTCATTGGGACTTCAATCTCCCGAAGGAGCAAAATCTAACCAACCACCGGTTTTAGTCGCGAATGCCAAAGGAGTTGTTAAAGTTGACCCGAAGCAAATGCCAAACTTAACGTCCGGTGTTTACGTAATGTCACGGAAAGACGGCATCATCAAGTTGGATTCGTCTCCTAGCGGGAAATTGGCTGTAAAAGGTTCGCCGACGCAAGGTGTTTTGATGGTTCAAAATCGAGATAATACTAACGTAGTGAGGAAGCAAGTAATATCCGCATCGCAATCGAATTCTGTAACGCCGGTAAAAGTGGTTTCTAAAATGGATGGAAGTCAAGTAGTAACGCAGATGAAAGTAGTTTCTAAACCTGTTACGAATAAAGCAGGAGGTACACAGAAAACCGAGCCTATAAAGATCCAGCCGAAACCAGATCCGACACAGTTACCACAGATACATGTCGTGACCGCGGTGCCGGCTCCCATAACTTTGCAGCCAAGAATAAGTACAGGAATACGTCCTGGACCTGTTACAGGCCAACGCAGTGCGGACGGTCGACCTTTGTTACCGAGACCTCCACTGCGTGCGACGACGCCAACTAGCGTACTCGGAATCGGATCAACAATTCGCACACCTGTTAGGGCGCCAGCCCCGAGACAAGTTCAGTCCCAGCAAACACGTCAGGTGCTACAAAAACGTACGACGGCTGTAACTACACAGAGTAACTCGGTGAGTCCTGGAAATGTTACACAGATTAGACCGAAGTTCGCGATGCTTAGTCCACAGTCGAAGCAAGTGGTAAAGTCTGGAACTAGTCCAGTGCAACAGGCTAAACAGTCGCCGAAAACACCAGTTGGTAAGCCACAGTCATTATTATCTCCGCAGCAAAAGTTATTAATGGCAAAAAGGAAAGCTCAAGAAGCAGCGGGTATCATTAAACCAGGTGGCCGCGGCCTCCTAGCAGCTGCTCGTGCTACCGCCGGCCGAGGTAGAGGGAAGTTGCCTGAAACATCAACGGCCGCTACTCCAGGAAACAAACTGAAAGAAAGTAAATTAGCGGAGGGTGATGGACTTCATATGGAATTCCACGAGGTAGGCTCCGAAGAGAGTAGCAGCGATGGTGAACCGGAACTTCCACCTCCCGAAGCCGATACCATTGCCACTACGGAGCCTGACAGCCCGCCAAGGCCGTTTACTCTTTGTCCATTAACTGGACGTATTATTGGACCGGATGGCGAACCCGTCGAACAGTCGGCCGAACCGGAACCTGAACCTGAATCTACCGAAACACCGTTGTCCACCATTAAAACCACTACAACTGCATCAGAAAGTATAGACGTCACCACTACAACTACCACCACAGAATTAGTCCTACCTTCCCTTGATTCTCTTACAGAGGGTGGTGGAATAATGAGAGTCGAAATGAGTCCTGGTGGAACGACGGGAACGATCGTTCAAACCAGTGAACCAGCGCAGATCAATTTGACAAACGTATCTGTTCCTGCGCCAGATCTTCCTTGCTTGGATGACACAGCTCCTACCGTGACTGCGCCAGCCACTACGACGGCAACACCGTTGACTGAAGCGGCACCAGCTAGCGAATCCTCGATCGCACCGGGATTGACCACGGCTACAGTTACCTCGACTAGCACGATAGCGATCGCTTCTACTGATGTGAAAACTGAAGAGAAAATACCGGAGGAAAGGAAGGTGGCCGAGGACACTTCGAACTTAGTAACAATAACTGGGGAGGACGGTGTCGTTTATCAAGTGGCTGGCCAAGCTGAGGATGGTCAAACATTGTTAGTGACTCGAGATGCTGATGGCGAGCAACAATGTGTATATGTTACCACGGAGCAACAAGGAGACGAGGGATCCGTATTAACGTTGGATCATGCTGTGGCGGAAGCTGTAGCTCAGTTGATACCTGATCAAGTAAACTTAGCCTCGCAATTCTATGTAAAAGAAGGTGGAACGGAACCTGCTGAAAATCCAATGGTGATGTCTATCATGGATAACACGAACGCGGCGGATGTGACAGAAGGACAAGAAGACGGTGATGGTCACGGCCAAGTTGTAGCTCAAGTTGTACAAGCGGAAGAACCAACACCAGGTAATGTGCCGACCTTGATCGTTTCAAATTTCTTTTAAATAGCACGCTAAGAAATAAGAAGTAACAGCGAAAAGGAATTTTCTTATCTTATAGATACTGTGATATTAAAGTTTTCTTATATTATTATATTAGGTGGAACTAGAAGAGTGGTCTTACTCTTACCTGATGGAAACTTGATGATGACAGAAGTAACGGAAGAACAGTACGCTGCGCTCGGACTTGGCAAGTGAAGAGACACTTAATGTTAATATTATGCGAAATGAATAAACGATTATGCATCGAACTAATCAATTTACAATGGAAGTTGTACGCTTAAGGGGTGATCGTGAGGTGTATATATGTAAGAACGTTCACTTCGTACAATTAAAATGAATAAAATTATTTACAATTGTCCCAGTTAAAAACAGATATCATGTGGAAAAAAGGGAGGAAAACGATACACGTAGTTGGTGTATTGTAAAAAAAGAGAAGAAGAAAAACTAACAGGATCAATTACACAGAAATCTATAATGTTAGATTAATAGATAAATAATTGTCTTAGAAATTCATGTCTGTTTCAATGTCTGAAATTCGCTGAAATTTTAATTTTATCTTATTACTTTATGAAAAAGAGAAGAAACAAAGAGTGAACACAAGAATGAAACATACTGCATCTTCGATGAAAAAACAATATCATTATACGTTTGAACTAAGCATTATATTTGTAGGATAGTGAAGTATAATCTGGGGTTTTATATTTTCCAATAATAGGCTTTTGACGAAGACGTTTATTCCCTTGCATACAAAGTCCAAGCTTATATAACGCGATATGTTCAGTCAGATTTTAGAGAAGATTTGTACTGATAATTGACAAAGGACGAATCGACGCTTCAGATTGTATATATATGTTATTAAAACTGAAATAAAAGAAAAGAAAAAAAAAAGGAAAAGAAACAAAAATGAAGAAATCGAATTCTATCTATCGCGATGAATTTTTATATAAAGCTTGAACTTAGTTTGACTCTGTGTGTTCTTCATCATATAAGATCCATATAAATTGTAATTTAATACTTTCCTTTTGATTTACTAGTTAGAATTACATTGTTTAATTTGTTCGTCCGAATTTCATAAATTCGTGCATTGTAAATTATGAACGAGCACAATGAAGCAAAGAAAGAATGTATTTTCTTTCTTTTTCTTTT